GAAATTGTCCTGTAGTTTGTGCGGTGGGCTACGACACCGAGGCGGGAACTTTGAAGCTTAGGTAATGATAGAGTCAGTGTTGTCAGGTAATGAGAGACAAATATGGGGCCCCACAACGCCCCGTTCACTGCCATCGTACACTTCACCTCCACGTGCTCCTCAACACCTCCTCGTCTTTTGAAAAACCCTACCACCGCTTTGCCGCCGTTTCATTTACTTTTGGTTGCGGTTCGCCCTTTTGACCCACCAACAAAATGTTTGACCCAACACCACGACAAGTTTTTATTGTTTTACATGGCAATTTAGGGATGCTAAATTGCTAATTGCTAATGCAATGCGAGTGGATTAGCTTTGGGACTTTCGGTAGTTTCTGCTGCTAACGAATCTTATGTAGGTTTATGTGTTTGTGGTTGCGTTACGATGATGATGGTGGCTCACACTGAGTATCGCCCTACCACCCCTCCCTTATGTTTGTTGATATGGCTACTACTGGTGTGGTTACTTATGACGTCTAACGTGCTTCGGTTATCCACGTTCCTGCCAATTTTGCAAATGCTTTTTCAATGTCGACATGTCATTGATCTTTTGTATTTTTTTGGTTTAGTTTTTATATTTTGTTTGTGTTGCTTTGCAAAGTTGTTTGTCGCTATGACAACTATGTGGTTTGCTGTTAGTAATGGCTTTATGTGAGTGTTTCGGTGCTAGGTAGTCGTGTTTGTCATTCTTGTGACATATCTACTTCGGGACTCCTTGTTTTAATGGTGTGGTGTTTGTAGCAACCGAATAGGAGTTTAAAATCATATACGTTTTGTGCGAATTATCTTCAGAGCACGAAATTGATTACTAGATAATATGTACCATATAACACTTCTTGTGATTGGTTGTTCTTATTAATAAAAAAAAAAAAACTATCTCTTATCTAAAGAAAGAAATATCAATATGAGTCTATTTGCTTCTGATCCTCGTATATCAAATTTGAGTCTCTATACGAAGTTGAACCTTATTGCACCAAAACCTAGTTGATAAGCAAAATGGTGAACCAACAAACAATGCATTAAGCAAAGATAATAATCAAGATGATGTTATTAACATTCTAAAAGAATTAGCACTAAATCGTTCAAAACGAAACAACTTTGTTTCTCATATCACACATTAATGGATTGGATTTCCACATTATCCAATAAAAACTCTAAAGCGTCCACGATAATGCAAAAACCAAACGACGTGCGTTTTAGCTGTCACATAGAAACTGACAATTATAAATGTAGGTCCACAATCCCAATTAGGAATTAACAAAAAATGTTTGGATCTGTGCATAAATGTCAAATACGCCCCACCCAATATCATCTTTACACGCGTGCATTCAATGCGTCAAACCTATTTAAATTAATTTCGTTACCTTAAATACCGAATAAAAAAATAATAGCTTCCGATTTAGTTTTTTATTAATTTATAAAATAATATTTAACATTTAATATTTTTAATTCAACCCAAGGCCAAAGCTGTCGGCGTAAACGAAGACTGTCTCCTCGCCTATAAATATCCTCCAAAAATCTCCAACCCTAAACTCTCACTCTTCGGACTCCGCCTCCATTTTTCTCTCTCCGTACGGTCCACCCAATGTCTACTGTAGACGCGCTCCACCTCCGCGACACCGCACTCTCCCTCGCCGTCGAGCCGCCTTCGCCTCCGCCTGGTATACCTCGACCTCAGCCAAAGCACGCTGCGCCCGTCCAAGCCGGCGCAGGCAAGGATCCGCATTTTAGAGGCGTGCGGAAGCGGCCGTGGGGACGGTTCGCCGCTGAGATTCGCGATCCGTGGAAGAAGACTCGGAAGTGGCTCGGCACCTTCGACACCGCCGAGGAGGCGGCGCGTGCATACGACGAGGCCGCGCTTAGCCTCCGTGGTCCCAAGGCCAAGACCAACTTCGGAAATCTCGCTCTTGTTCCGCCTCACTCGCTTCTCCTCGGCGGCGGCTCTGAGATGTTCTGGCCTCCGCCGCCTATGTACTTTATGTCTGGAGCTCCTGCGGTGGCGCCGATTAGGTCGGAGTATAGAGGGTACAAGCTTGAGAATGTGGACGCGGTGGGGGGCCAGGAGGAGAAGAAGATGAGGAAGGACAAGAAGCCGTTCTTATTCGATCTGAATCTGCCGGCGCCGCTGTTCTGAGCAGCCGCCGACGTTGTTTAAGCGTATACTTGGGTGACATTCCATTTTTGCCCTTGGCGGTTACTCTTAATTTCTACGTTACATGTGTACAGTTATTGTAAAAACGGGAATAGTAAGTTAAGGGCGAGATTAAAAGTTAATTAACGACTGTTAATTCTGTTTGCACTCAGCTTAATCTGAGTCAGATAATTGTCGCAATTTGTTGCCCTTTTATTTATTTATTTTAGCATGAACAAATTATCATTAATTCGTTTCTTAGCCTAATACTAACAAATTAACAATGCCATAATCGTGTTTATCTCATCTTTTGTTTCCTCTAAATTGAATGGTGATTCTGTAACTGATATGGACATGAAATCTCTTTCCCTATTATATGTACGCAGTTACGATATAAATCCGTTATGTTTTGGGTTGGGCAGTGATTTTTACGCTTTCGTTTTCTCTAGCGCACGTATTCACTAATTTATTTATTTTTGTTTCTTTGTATTTAACTGCTACAAAAAATGTAGTACTACGAAAAATAGAAGAGTTTGAAAATCAACGCAAATATCGTCATCTTGCATTCTTGAGCCGCTAGCACTGCGGTCTATTAGTGTCCTTTCACTTTAAGTGAGATTTTCGATTCACTTGAATAGTGAGTTCGAGACTCAATTATTATAGCTAGCCTATGTGGGCAGTCGTTTTTACTTTTAAAAAAACAAACTGTTCATTTGCGACGAGCGCAAAATGACTATTTTCGTGTTCATTTGATAAGAGTGCGAAATGATTATTTTCGTTTGGTGATCAACTCACCAGTACGTGAGTCATGGGTCATAGGTTCACCTCAACTAAGTGAACCCACCACAGATATTGGGCTGGTGCATTCAACGTCCTTGACAGCAAAATGTCGTTCTAAACAAAGTTATGGGTTGGGCTTATAACTAAAGCCCAAAACAAAACAGACTAGGCTGTGGACCCATCTATGATTGAAGGTGATGCAAACGTTTTCTTCTCATTTCTGCCTTGTCAACGAAACCAACTGAGAAACCCTACATCCACTGGTTGCTTGATTGTCAAGAATCAAGAATATTAACCCCAGAAATTAATTTTTAATTCATTAATTATTGATTGCGTATGGTATCTTGACTGCCTTTCTCTGGTTGGTTAGGGACTAGTTAATCAGAGATTTGGAAAAAGTAGCAGCAACCGTAATCGCTAATTAAACATTCTTAATCTTCTTCTTGACATATAAAAAAAACATTCCTAATCTTCTTAAACAATATGTACTATGTTTAACCTCATTCAATCCCATTGATCATCTTCTCATGACTGCCACAACACGCCATTGACATTCAAGAAAATGATTTTCCAATATACACTTATTTCATTTTGACAAGAAAATAAATTCAAAATTGAGCGCAATAAGACGGATGCATTACTCTACACGGTTGGCATACTCAATTTTGAATATATTAAAAGCAGAAGCTAATTGCTCCAGTGTATGACACACACTGAATCAATAACGTGTTGAACGTGCAACAACCAATAATCCAACAAACAAAAATCTAATGATCACAAATGTCGATATACTTTATACATTGTTGCATACTAAAAAAAACCTCAAAAGAATGAGGCCACTTGTATTTAACTTTCTCTGTAGATTGCAGTACCCAACTCTCACAAGCAAAATAGTGGAAGTAAAAAGGTTTTAGCTCAGCAATAATCATTTCATTTGTGCCCGTTTGTTGTGCCACATCTTTTTTATTCTGTTTATCTTTTGGGTGGCGTACTTAGCCATATCACTTCTTTACAGCAAAGGTCCCAAGGATTCACCAACCAAAGAATGAGTATTTGCTACTACTAAAATTAACTTGGGTAGCTCGTACCCACCACGTTTTTCACACAATACTTTTTATAAAAGCATGAGATTTTTTTTGTATTTTTGATCTTCTTCATACAGTTGCACATTGGTCTGGTCTCTCACCGCAACTGCATGTGAGAGTTGTCATAGTAGAATAACACGGTCAAAATATCTTCATCAGAAGAGCAAAGAATTGGGCATTGCCAAAGATAAATTCCCAAAAACTGTATGCTTACTATGCAGACAATTACATCTTCGCGTCGCATAATGAGTGGTATAAGAACATGGACACATGGGCTAATGTGAAGAATGCTCTAAGCAAACAGAATATATGCCCGTCTGCATGCAATAGTCGTCCCCATTACCAGCGCCAGGCCAAAGAATTTTTCCTTTTTTTGCTTAAAAAGAAGTTTGGAATTGGACCCAAAAATAACATTTTGGTTTTATTCTTGTGAAGGAATAATAACAAGATATCTTATCTTGGTCCCCCTCACGAGTCACACCCAACTTTTCTTTTTCCTCACGCCAATTGAAAGCAACAGTAATTTGGTAAAAAGGATGGATTATCTATGACTTGGCTTCAAATTAAACCTGGCAAAAGTCGTGTTTGTCACGTTCATGTCATTTTCGTTATACATCGTATCTTAATAGGTCATATTGTTTCAAATTTGTTATTTTAACGGGTTTTTAACAAGTGATCCCACAATAACTCGTTTTGTTAACAGGTTGTGTTGTTTTATGTCAGATTAACGGGTTATGCAATAAATTGTTATGTATTGATGCCTAGAAATGACAAATGATATCTTATCCAATTCCTACCATGTGAGTCACCTGATAAAAATCTAACACGTTAAAAGGTTAACCACAAACCTGTTATTTTCGTGTTGTGCCGAATTAACGGATTGTGCAATCAATTGTCCGGCCTACTTTTAAATCATCCTTTTCATAGTAAACATTTTCATCCAAAAGTATAAACAAAGAAAATAGTAAATGAAAAACAAAAGTACCACATGAAGGGCATTTCATTAATTTCAAAAACCCCAAATTGTTTGAAGCACTGGTTGCTAAACAGAACATAAAACATAAAACAGTTCTTATGGGATAATGACCTAATTTTACAGACTTGTTGCAGTCCACCCCGCTGGGGCTTCATGCCCGCTTGCCTAAACGCAAAAACGCTCGAAAGAGCCCAACTCCCCAAAGCCGAAATAGCCGCTCCGATTTGTATGTCATGCTTGAACCATCCAAATATATGTACAGGAGCATCTCAAGCCGAACACAGATAAGGATTTGATAAAATGACTGTTGGGCTGAGCTCGCCGAGGCTCTCCATGAATTTCATGTTGTTGTGGATTGCGAGGGTATCCTTGGGTGGTTATGCTCACCTTCGTAGGTAACAATAAGCATGGATGGTTCTTCCAAGCACCTCTCGACATGCTTCCTTGCTGGACAACCTCTCATGCTACTGCATTTATAGTATCCCCTGCACAAGTTAAAGGAGCTTCAATAGTTAATTAAGTTCACGAGAAGTTTAAACTTAAAAAGTCTGATATTCGACAAGCATAGTAGCATCGAATAAACTCAAAACTGCATATCAACAAGCATTATCAAATATCAAGTACATGTCATATTCAACTTTGATTCCTTCTAAGATTTGATTTCTGAGAATATAAAAACAAAAAATTACATAGAAGTATCGGATAAACTTGAAAGTGCATTCGCCAAGCCTCATCAAATACCAATCACATGTTGTATTCAAACTTAAATTCTGTGAACAATCTTGACCCTAGATTCGATTGTTAAAAATGGATAGAAATTCAAACGCTGAAAAAAGGAACAACAATTTTAACTACCATCTTTGGCCAAAAAAAGAACTATTTTGGCCACCTTCTCTTCTGAGAAACAAATAAACCACGAGAATAACTTTAAAGTAGGCATTAGAATGTTTTTGTATTAAAGGCCATAATTAAAATACTCGACGAAATAAAAAAAAGCAGGGTATTCCACATTTCCAATGTACACCACTGGATTACATCTCATCTAGCGGCACAATCCAATGACATCAATTTGTAGAATATAAACAACAGAACAACACACGAGATCACTAGATTTTACCAAGATACTGCAATGTGCAATCCTGTAGTGGTTCGTCATACTAACTGATTTTTAGTTCATGGAACGCACACCTCTATCATATAGGTAAAAAATTCTTAGAAAAGAGTTAACACTAAAATTCACTACAAATCATATTCAACCATGTACATAAAGCACTAGCAAAAGATTTTGCGCATCAAATAAAATCAATTTCTCATTCGAAATGCAGAAATATTGTACCTAGGGTGAGGGGAACCCTTGATTGGCTTCTGGCCATATTTCCGCCATGAATAATCATCAGGAGGGATATCTGCAAGCTTGTTACTGATAGCAGGCACCTTAATTGACCTTTTAACCCTATGCTTCCTGCCAGCAGAACATAATTAACATAAAATAGTTCAAAAGCAAGTATAATAATTGTCCTCCATGACAGGACACAGAAGCATTGCAAGCTATTATTGAACCAAGTAGTGCATAAGGAGAAATTCAACCTCTTCTTTGAGCAGTGACATCTACCACTGCTACCACCGCATTTTACACTCCCATCGTCTCCCCTAGCAGAACACTTCCTCTTATGTTGTGAATTCTGATCCGAAGAGAGAGGAGCCCCGAGCAAATGAAAGGAATTACCATCGAAGTTAGCCACACTTCCATCTATGCTCAAGGAAGAAATGAAGGACCTCGTAGATGACATTGTAGGTGTGCAGCTAGAGCTATCAAAATTCAGATTTATGCCACTATTGCTCCTACGATACGTCATTTCCGTTTGCTGCTTCATCTGGTGCTGCTGAAGTAACATCCTCTGCTGTAGTTGCTGTTGTTGTTGATGTTGCTGGTGCTGCCGTTGTTGCTGAAGCAAGTGATATTGAGCGGGCGGCACTTGTTGGGCAGGGTGAATTGGGGTTTTTCCATTAGCACTCAATTCCAATGATGGACTCCCCAAACACAACGCACTTTTAACATCTAAACTCAAATCTTGAGTTGGGTTTTCAGGGAAGCTAGATTGAAGAAAGTGGGGAGTTTTGGATGGATGGTCCGCAATCGACATAGGATTATCCAAAAGGATTCTTTCAGGAAAAGGGATTTGAAGCTTCTTAAGCTTTCTAACTCTAGCATGACCTAAACCAGTATTGAGAATGGAAACAACTTTCTTAAACCTAGACACAGCCTTTCCAGTTTCCACCATTAGATTCCTGTACTGAACTTGTTCCTGTGGCTGAGACAAGAGGCTAAGAACTCTATGGCAGCTCTCAACAGCTGTTTTGTTAGCTTCTTCAACTCCCTCCATATCTACCAAAACTACCAACCACTATCCTAAATCCAGAAAAGGTAAACAATTTACACAAAACACACCAAAAGTGCCAAAAACTCAGCAACCCAACACAATTTATAGGATGTTCAGCAATCCTCAGCAGAAAAAACAACTACCCAGGTAACCAAAACCCCAATTTTTTTACCCAACAAAGCTAAGAACTTTCTAATGAAATTTCAACCAGGAGAACAAAAAACCAACTGGGTTTATGAAATTTGACAGATTAGAGGAAACCCCAGATGGAAATCAAGACATTACAGCATAGCAATTTGGTAAAATTGTGAGTTGGGAGAGTGGAGAAAAAGAGAAGCAAAAGAACAGACCTTGTTGGAGTTGGTGCTGTCAAACCCTAGATTCTGAATTCATGCTTTTGAGATTGAAAGGTGTGAAGGAGAAGACTTTTGCTTTGCTCTTGATAGAATTCACACTGCCACAAGAATACAAAGCCCCCATCTTTGTTTAATATAAAAACTTCCCATTTTTTCTAGAGGGAGAAACCCAAAGAATTCAACACAGGAGAGAGAGTGGGAGAGAGAGGAGATTTAAATAAACAGGTAGTGAAAGAAGCAGGGAAACTAAGAAGGAAAGAAAGCTCAGGAAATAAAATGAAACTGCCGTCTATGTCACAGATTTGAAGGGGCGGGCCCCACACTGAAGACCTTTGTTATTCTCTTTTCGGAAGTGGTCTTCCTCTTCTCTACACATACGTCCGTCCGCTAAATGTTAAAGTGAGCCTTTGATTTTACGGTCTACACGAAGTTTTCATTTTATTTTTTTCCCCTTCACTTTTTCTTTGTTTTCTTTTAAGATTTGAATATTTGATATTCCTTTTTTTCCCCTTTTTTGTTCTCTTCCCCCCCCCAAATCAATTTTCAAGTTTTTAAATTTGGGAATTTCTTTTCCTCCTTCCTGAGAGTGCTAAAGTCCATCTTTACTTTTGTAACCTACATGAAAAACTTTACCCTCTGACGAAATCTACAGTGTAACCGGTGGTGTATTTATCCATTTTCTTATCTCTTCGATTATGTATCGGTTACACAATTAAGTCTCTCGTGTGCTTGGTGAGTTGTCAGATGGTGGCAGAGTTGTTGAAGAGTTGGGTTTTACTTGGCCTCTTTGCATGTTGTGCAGTCTCTGCTATTTTGGACTAGGCGTGGTAAATGAGGACATAGATGGTTTCGCATCCTCAAACGTCTGCAATTTAGTTCATTCATTGACTGTCTGCATGTCTTTCTTTTTTTGTGTAAAATGACACTTATTTGAACGTACTCACATGCATAAACGCCCGTTAGGTCAATTACATAGGGCAGTGTGCTTGTTTTCTTGCACTCAAGTTTGAATTTTCACACATATGGATTAGAACAAAGTACCTGTTAAGATATTATTTTGTCAAAATAAGAAAAACTCAAATGCACAATGTTCTAATACATGGTAAAGTTGGGTAAAGTTGTAATGACGAAAGTATTTCCTTTTCTCTATTTAATTTTTATTCACCAACGGTCGTTGATAAGATCTGAATTCACCACTCACAAAATGAAGATTGAAGTGGCATTAGATTAAAGGGAACTTTAACGAAAGACTCCCAGTATTGTTCACTTTAACAAAAAACCATATTTTTACATTAAAAAATTAATTCTGGTACTATTCACTTTACTCTTTATTTTGTTCTTATCGTTAAAACTCAAAATTTTCAAGCTATTTTCATTAGTTTTCCTTAGATTAAATGATTATTGATACTCTACTACTGTTTGACAACTTGAAGTCTTGAACTTTGTCATAACAAAGATTAGATGACAATGCTCTTTCGTTGCTTAATCTTAAGTGTTTTGATAGAAAAGAAAATGGGTAAGTTGTTTTTGTCAAATTATATCAATTCTTAAAACATTTTACTTACGAAATTTAAATCATGACTTGCTATACTAAAGTGGAGACATGTCACTAGGCTAAATAGTTAAGGGTGGTCATTGTTATATGAGAAATTTTTGGAAATGTAATATGAACTTATGAATCATTTCCACTTTGTCATATTAATTTTTCGAAATCATTAATTTTTCGTCTCACCATAACCCTGTTAAGCTTTCTATCCAAAATAAGTCATGTGGCTTGCACATTACGTGTTTTTAAGGTTATTTTGAACATTTCAACTCTATTTTTTTTATCAACATGATTGATCACATTGAATTCTTAAATATTACAATTAGCTAAATTCCATGCTAATGAGCTTAATATGCTTTTTTTATTAGTTGACCATAAGCTTTTGAAATGAGCACAACATGTTTTTTACTAGCTAAAAGTCCTAGGTTCGTACCATAGAGAACTTGTGGAACAATAGTTAAAAGTTCGAAACCAATTCATCGCCTCACCCAATGCTAACATATGTTTGTATAAAAGAAGAAAATTAACTTGAAAAAAGAGGTCAAAAGTCCAAAATGACCCATAATACAACTTATTTGGATGAAAAACTTAACAAAATTAAAATGATATGACAAATTAATGATTTTCAAAAATTAATATGACGAATCGCTTAAATTTAATGTTAATGGTGATGATAAGGGTGGTGATCATGATATTTTTTAGAAGATGCATTACATAGTAAATTATGATATTTGTAAACAAAATATTGTCAATATGATGGTGGACACTTTAAATCAAGATAGTGATTGAAAAATCAACCTTATGAACAAAATTAAATTGACTTAATTGGTGCAAAACTAACTTTATCATCAGTTATTGGATTTAATCTTCTACGGTCTAGTGGTATTCGTCTTTACTTTTAAGTGAGATGCCTTAAGTTTTATTCTCGCCAAAGGCAAATTTGAACCATATTATTACTAGCCTATTATGAGGTTAAGCCCATCTCCCTAATTTTAGCATAGAGAATAAGGAAAACTAATAAAAATTGCTTAAAATTTATGAGTTTTAACGATAAGGACAAAATAAAAGGTAAAGTGAACTATCATAAGTGACTTTTTAGTGTCAAAATATGATTTTTCGTTAAAATAAATAGTACCGAGAATTTTTCGTTAAAGTTTTCTAAATAATATTGATTGTTAAAAAAAAAATAAAAAGATTAAATTAATCTTGATCAGTAATAAAATTAATATTATCAATGAAAAGGAAAAAGAAGAAGGTGACATAAACTTTGAGACTTTGCTTTCAAGTCTTTTACACCCTCCGCTGCGCGGATTATCCCAACGTCCGTTCAAGAGTGGGGCCCAAGGCCCAGTCCAGCACTGGAGAGAATCCAATATAGCCGTTGCCAACGACGCCTAATCATTTGTCAACACGTGTAAAATTATCCCTAAAGTCTGACACACAAACCGATGTGCTGTTCGTACATACTAATTTTACCGCATTTTTCATACCGTACTTAACAGCTGTATGAAAACGTAATAAGTGTAGCATTACTCTTTTTACTTCGAACCGGCGTGATACTGTTACTTCGGTGACTGACACGGCATGGGCTCCCACCGGTCCTACCTCCGTTGACTTTACACCTCACTTTTGCGTAATCAGCTCACTTTCAATTAAAAATTAATTCACTTAATTATTATGTAATAATTCCTAATTAGAGATCTTACATGATGACCATTATATAGGCCTCGTGAAATTGTCCAACTTTTACATAACCAGTATGTAATTTTCAACAACTATATTATGATCCTGAAGGAAAAACTTAACATTATGTTATGATTGTAGTACTAAGGCAACTGAAATTTAGGAGGCTAGAAATGTTTATTTGATCGATGTTTCGTGTGTGTTGTTTTTTTTTATTTTATTTTATTTTTTTTATCAACATCGGTTGTGTAAAAGAAAAATTATTATGTACATTAACACTCATAAGATTGATCGTATTTCACATGACACGTTTTCTGTTTGATTTCTGCATTGGTGAGTTACACGATGGTGGTTAGGAAGAGATTAAAATGTTTATGTAAGTCTTCTTAACCGTCAGAATTGACGTGGCAAAGCCACCAGCTGATCTCTTTATAAAAAAAAGAAGGAAAAAAAGGTGAGATGTTCTTAGTGCATTTTAATTAGTTAAATGGACAGAAGGAAAAGTAAGAAGGACACATACAGGTTTTTTTTCTTGAGGCGAAGCAATAGTGTTTTATTGATAATCAAACATTACAATTTTGTAAAGAAATGTCACGAATGAGATCCAGATGTTCTTGAAATAAAAAAGATTCACGTCCAAAGAACAAAGCCAACTTGGGCAATCCATGTGACACAACATTTGCAGAGCGTCGGGAATGTGCAATTCGACAATTTGAAAGAGAACTTGAGTAGAATTTCCATGTCGTCAATTGAAGGGTTTAGGATAGAAGCATCCCGGCGGTGGCTGCTGACGGCTTGGACAACAGCAGAGAGTCGCATTCGAGGAGAAGTTGGTTGGGTTGAAGTTCGACGGCTGTACAACCACAAGCACCTTCTCTGGCAGCAAGAAACTCAATGAAAGCTAATACAAGTTATTTGACATCAAGGACATCACTTTCATAGTCTTTCTAATGTACTTTAAAACTCTAATCTCAATTAGCAATCATGTTTTCCTTCTTAATTTGGTCGAAACTTGCAACTGTTTTAACGGATTGGAGCAAAGCAGCTTTTGCCTTTTATTTTGGGACGAAAATTTCGACTATGCAGAATTGGAATTTTACAGACATTCGAAAATTGAAAGTGGTTTGGACTGAAATTGAGGTCACCTGTTTGTGATCTGACCCATCTGAAATCACGCTTATATGCGTACTACTCAAGGCTCATGAACTTTAGTTCGAAAACTGAAGCAATTCCAACTCTTTCACCGTGAATGAATTTGGGAGGTCAAAACATTCAGTAACCCAAATTTAACACAATCATATAGCACTCAAGCACCTCAGTGAGCGAGTCGTCGCTCACTAAGATGAAGGTGTGCAAAACCACTTTGGTGGTTTGGCTCTTTGCACCACCTCCTCCTGTCGTTCTGATTGTATTTTGTCCACTTGCTTTGCTGGTATCAGAATTCTTCAGTTGTTGGTCGTCGAGTGGTGGACATGGTTGCCGGGTTTGGTTGTTTCTTTCATTGGCTGAGTGTTTTGGAGAAATTTAATATTTTGTTTGTGGATCTTAGATGTTGTGAAATTAGGGATTTGTTTTGTTTTTTATTGGGGGCTGCTTTGTATTTGTGTTTTTGTTTCAGGGCGTTTGGTTTTTGTCAGTTCTGACAGTGAATCTGTTGACTCGAGTGATGGAATGGCAATGTGCACGGTAGTCGTGGCGGTGACGACTTGTGTCAATGGACTGAGTCTGATTGGGCCATCATGTGCTTTGCTTGAGCTTTTTTTTTGTACTTTTGACCTACTTGTAGCTTGTTTTAATGTTTATCTCCTGTAACATTTTTTCTATCAATGAAATTTATGCTTGTCAAAAAAAAAAAAAAAAAAAAAATTGTAATAGGGTGATCACAAGGTTAAATTTTCATGACAAAAAAGGAGGAAACAGAATAAAAACATAATTATGAGTAATAAAAAGTAGAAAAAGAAAAGGCGGATTAAAGCATGGTTTTTCCTACACAAAGTGCACGGATTCATTCTTTACAACGTCTAACTCGGGAACAATTCAGATCTTATGGATCAAAAGCTTAACTTTATCCAAAATGTAGAGCCATGAAAACACCAGTAATTTACTTTTTCTCCCTTCTCCTTTATCTGTAGTTGTTTTATTTGCGAGGTGTATAGAGTTGTCCTAAATGGGGAAGTTAACAAACGTTATAAGGCTTACAAGGAGTTAGGTTACTACTCCTGCTAACAGTAACAGGTTCAACGGTAAAACCCCATTCCTCTGTAGAACCTGAGAATGTTGGTTTACGTGCGAAGTTCAAAAAGTTCCCCAATATGCATTGCTTACCTGTGTAGGTGAAGAGAAGAATTATTCCGAATTCAAAAGTTAAGGAAGCTTGCATTGCTTCTCTCTCACTCTTCTACAATCTAATGATTCGTTCTTGTTGCTGGATTGAAGAATCAACCCCTTCCAGCTCACGTCTGCATGAGAATCACGCTCCTTGAAAACCGACGTTCAATCCATGAACTTGTAACGGTACCGGAACACGTCATACGGTACGATAATGTGGTAAACAATGCAAGTGTTTATGCTTCACGGTACAACATTAAGAACCCAATTGCACCTATAACATAACTGAATAGATTATACAATACGACGGTATTTCATATTTACGCGTTAAAATAATTTATGCAGAGAATTAACCAATCCACTTTGTCCTCAAGACATTCTGTCCCAGCGTCCATCTGGTCTGTCTCTTTTAACTTTGAAGAATATTTGCTTCCCCAAAACCCCCAATTGCTTTGGTTTGTTCTCTCTGATTACTAACACACCATCTCTGTTTTGGGGTCAATGAAAGGCGCGGAGAGAGAGAGAGAGAGAGAGAGAGAGCAATATCTCACAAGATTTTGTGGCACATGCATGGATTCAGCTTACACCTTTACCTTTTTCTTCATGGCCAAAAAATAAAGTAAAAAGAAGGAAAGACGGCCAAGGAGTGCATTGGGATCTGGTAATGAACTGTACGGATATCATTAGATTGGCAAAGTGGAAAACACGTTATCTTTTGTTTTGGTCTACGCTCTAGACTTCTTCCTCAATTCTCATGCCTCCTCTCAAATTCATTTTTCATACAAGCCACCGCACAGAAGGAAGGGAGGGATAATCGAATCTAGGGTCTCGTGCACAATGATAAATGTTCTTAATCACTTTAATGTTTTAATGACTTGACATGTTATGAGGAGTTTGCAAACCCTGTTGGATCTCATTGGATTAAACGCGACCGAGTGCGGCCCATTCTACCATTCTGATTATATCAAAGAAAACTCAATATTTGTTTTTTGGTCAAACGATAGATTTTATTAGATTAGAAGTTAGATTAATCACCGACATAATACCCATCATGCAAGGGCTCAACATCATTGCACTACTATGGTAAAATGCCACTTGCAAGAAAACTCAATACTTGGACAGGTTTCTTTCGACCGAAGAAGAACAATTATATCATCCTAAGACAAATCTTAGGGCATGTAAGTGACAGATCGATTGGTTGCAATTCGCCAATCGACCAGGTAGTTACATCTCATAACCATTCCACAAAGATGGTTCTTAGGTTCATCAGATCGATCTTCATTGCAGTTGAGGGCAGTTAAGGACTTACAATTGGGTCAGTTATTTAACTCTTGAAACATAACTAGGAGTCATTGATACTATTCCACTAGATGTCGGGCTAGACAACACCAGTTCAAGTCGTCAAAATCCTTTATATATAAAATGAAATCGAAAGCGAAAATCGGGGAAGTAGAGAACAACAATCTTCTGTAACCATTTAGAAAATATCAAGACAATTTTTGTAGTTACACAAAAAATAACTGTTTCAGAGTTGTAGGATATTTATTCCGAGTAGTAATCCATGGTTCCCTGTAAGATCAGTCCTAAAACAACCTAATTACGCCGACACGACTATTGTTTTCTTCCCCGTCCTTTCTTGTTTGGCTGTGCGTCCATCTGGTCTTTCCCAGTAACTTCTGATGGGTCCGCTGTTCAAAAGGAAAACAAGAGGAAAAGGTGAATTAGTTTTACTCACATCAAGGCCAAACTGGAAACAAATTTAAGAAAGGGAATTTCATTGCATTTGGAACATGTTTTTCAACATCCAGAAAGCTCCTTTGTAACTAGTGAAGGGAACCTTCGGTAAAAGGCAGCTACCCCACCGTTTCGTCTTCAAACACATTGGGACCTACAGTTGTACCAAAACCTTTTCGTATTTTTTTTTTTTAATTTAGGCTTGAATACGGATACTACCTTCAGGACCTCGAGACATCAAAGTGAAGAATATGTTGTTGAGTTTCTCCATCTTCTTAGCGTCTTGTGCCTGGTCTGTTTTGAATTTCAGACACTGCCAATGCAAAAGGATCCATCACATGAGTAAATCAGACAAATGCATGTTATCGGCGATGATGTAAATGATATGCACCCATTTTCTTGAATCTGAAAATTTGAGTTTTAACGACAACATCCCAAGTTTCTAGTAAGCCATAGAAGAGAAATTTCAGTCCAAGTTTTCATTACAGGACATGAAGATTTTGTAGTCTCCTCTACCTATAAGTAACGCATAGTGATTTTTTGTAGTCCTAAAATGCATTAAAGACGACTTTAATCAAGTCAAATTTCAGCTGGGACTTCTGCAATTAGGATTTCTCCACCAACAAAATGAAGGTGGCAAAAGGTAAGACAGGAGAAAAAGGAAACATATTGCCATGCATTATCGCGATAAGACACCCAAGACTTCAAGTAACGACATTCCCAGTTCAATTTGGGAACAATATGGCATGAAAAGGGTTCCTAGAATTACTTTTTTACATTATGTTCAGAAAAGTTGTCTCAGATGAAACCCTATGAGTATCACTCTATGACAGAACAGTTAGAAATGGATTAGGTGACATTTGCAGATTTGTGTAATCTACAAACAGAGGCCAAGGAAGCTGATCTAGGTATTTCTACCACAACTGGAAGGCTACCTAAGTTCCCAAAGAAGAAGCCCCAACGCAACCACACTAGTCTAAACAAAAAACAAGTTTGTGCACCTAACATCGCACTGAAATCCAAATTCTCTTAAGGCCTTACGAGCTACACCCGGAACACATAAAATAATCTAGCCTTTACATTCTTCAAAATGGTACAAAACAAGCTACAGAGATGATGTATGAAGAACTCCTTCGAAGACTAAACACCTCGATAAGTTAAGTAGAAGCAGGCATATAAAAACAACCAATGAAAAATCATAATCCAAAGTTCTACGCACAGACTACGGATTTCTAAACGCATAACACCAAATGCTTAGAACTACTTGATGTTCTTAAACACAACAAGTACAATGAGCAAAAGATTCACCACCACATGATATAATCAAATCAGTACCTCTTTATTATCGGTGACTTTGAGAACCAATTTCCCCTCGCAATGCCGGTACTTCATCACGTAACGAGTCTGCATCAACAAACAGATCCATCACAAGTGTTAGAAACACTTAAACATCAGTCTAACAAAACAATTCAGACCGCCTAATTCTTGTTCGCAAAACGTAATTAAAACAGCAATAATTGAAATTAGAAGAAAATAATCTGGTTTTGTGAAGAAAATTACGACGAGAAAAAACAATTATACTATTGTAGACTAGGGTTTTCATGCACCGGAATACTGGGGCACCAAGAAAGAAACTAAAATCTACCAGTCCGCTGTGCCCTAACTCAACTATTTGAAACAAAGTATTTTCACGCTGCAGTCAAGAACTATCGCTAACTTCATTCGATTTTCTTGAATTTTCTCGGAAGCCAAACATAAAACAAGAGAAAAAGGAAATCGAGTAACGTACAGATTCGGGATCGGCGCGGAAAAGCTGGACGGATCGCTCGACGAACTCGTCCCAAGAAGTTACGTAAACCATTTCTTCGGGGATTGGGGTTCTGAGATTAACGCGAATTCTATGCGGAGAAGAGGTAGCGCGGCGGAGGAGGTGGGCGTTTGCTTATAGGATATGGGCCTTTTTGGATTTTTGAAAGTCCGTTGGGGGGGCAATTTGGGCCTGTTGGATTCGTACTGCCCGTCCCGCTTTTGAGCGCGTGACTAGGGAAGCAGCCGGGTCGGGGCGGGTATGTCATTGTTGGGTTTTTTGCATTTTGAACCCTCCATGTTTCGAGTGATTAGCAAAATGAGCCATGAAATTTTATTCTCTTATTGTACCTTAAGGGTATTGACGTTGTATCGATTTGTGTCTTTAGTCTGGTTGATTGTAAGAAAAATTCATTAAATTGATGAGGTGGTGAGTTTGAGACTTTTATATGAGTTAATGTGTAAGTCACACTTGCATCACATTAAAAAACAAAAAATTTGGTAATTTATCGATAATTAGATGTTTAAAGAAACAAAAGGTGTGTGTGACATCCCGTCCCGGGATTATTAAACGCACGTGTGAATTTACCTTTTTGCCCTTAGTCGTTTTTTTTTGTCACGTTGTGGGTTGTTTTGGTGTGGGGTGGCATGTGTTGGACCACACACACACTCCCACAGACAGACACTGTCTCTCTCTCCTTCTGTCTTCTCTCTGCCTCTCCCGTGCTCTCTTCCTCCCTTCTCCTTAGAAACCGTACGGACAACACACAAAGGCACCCAAATCTTAGTAGATCGAGGAAACCAAAGACACTATTCAACTCGTAAGGTCGAGGCGAGCTCAACCATACCATTTTCAGGTGAGGAATATTTCGTTTTCACGTCGATTCAACAATGGCCGAATTGAGTACTGTTCATGCAAGTTTTATACATTGTGTTTCTGGACTTTTTAAGCTTGTAGTTGTGTTAGGGAGACCTCAAGGAGCTTGGGAATACTTCGTTGGGTGGATTTGGACGTCGGGAAAGCTTAGTTTCAAAGTTGGCCGAACTTGGATCGTTGTTGCAGGTGAGATTCTTTGATTTTTAGGCCTTAAGAGTAGTCTAACGTGATTCTACTAGTCCTAAGCTTCATTTTGGTATAAAGAACGTGAAAAATGGTTGAAAAACGAGTGAGAAAACGAAGTTTGAAAAATTTCCAGTTTTCCGGCGACGGCGCCGGCGACGGCGGCGGCGCAGACGGCGGCGGCTCGCCGGAGAAGACAGGGGAATATTCCGTTAAGGCTAACGGAATATTCCTAACAGAAGCTAACGGCGTCAGTCAAGGTTAACGGAATATTCCAGGGAATATTCCTGACGGCGTCACCTGACGCCGTCAGTGTGCAGGTCACGTGGCCGCGCGTGGGGGCGCGTGGACCCGTGCCTGTGCTGGCGCGTGGGGGCGCGTGAGGTGTCCAAAAATTATTTTAAAAATATGGTTGTGATCGTGAGGTTGTGTAGATCACGTTGGTATATTCATTTGTCCATTTTGAGCAATGTATGAGAAGTTATTACGAGAAACGGGTTATGTGCTTTAAAGTTAACGTTTTTATAGTTGTTTCGCATCTAGGTGACACGTACCCAGAGGACGAGCGTGCACAGGCGAGACAGGGGGGCTACGACCCTTCTACATACCAGTGAGTGGGCTTTTGTTTTCCGTATCTACCTATATACATTTATATTCCCAGAAATTGATTTAAAAAGGGTTAATTGCCTTATGCCATGTACTTTATTATTTATCGTTTATGCATCGTTACATGCATCATTTGTGGCATACATATACATATGCATATGTCATATATATTTATGTGTGGGTGCTGTGGAGGCATAGGTAAGTGCCAGGTAAGCGTTAATTAACGATTGCATTACATAGTGTTTAGAGATGCTTAGAGAGCTCATAACCTGCACCCCCGGTGTTAGTGCTCCCGCCCAGAGTAGGGCACAGTCCTTCACGTGTTGTTCACCTCCCGCACCATACGCTCAGCTTGGATCCAAGTTAGGTGCATAGGCCTGTCGTACAGACCACAGTAGGTGGTTCCGACTCGTAGGTGACCCGCGATTATTCGCACAGCCTTCACGTGATCGTAGCACTAGAGCGTATATACATGTTACACCCAGGCCTGTCGTACAGACCCCTTTAGGTGGTTCCGACTCGTGGGCAGGTTTAGTTATTGAGTTGGACATTTGAGCTCTATATACAGCCGTACAGGTCACGTTAGGTGACTCCGGCTGCCAGAGGATTGTGTGATTGATACGACTCACACCTGAGCACTTGCATATCATTAGGAGATTTTGACATAGCATATATTGAACATGATTGGCATACCCTTGAGCATGTTTGAGCATATCTATACATACGTACATATGTTATTTTCTGGGAAGTATACAGGTTTTACGGCGAGGGGTTAGATTGTGTTTTATTAAATGGTTTTCAAAGAGCTTTGTTTTTGCCCACTCACACTTTTGTTTTGCGCCCCTCCAGGTTCTAGTAGCTTAGCCGTTGCGGTGGTTTCCCTTGCGAGCTTTTCGGCGTTCTGACAGACACTCCACATTGTAGGTTCGCCTTCGGGCGTACTACGGTTGTTATTTTATTTGGACTGCTATAGACCTGCTCTGAATTTGTATTGCACTAACTAGCACTTATTCTAGTACTTGATTGCTAGTTGTTAATTTTTCGTACTTTTATTTTACTACTCCATTAGCTTCCGCACGTGCACATGGCTACGTCGCCTTTGTGTGACGGCCAGCACGCCCCTATCTCGGTCGGGGTGTGTCAGTTTGGTATCAGAGCCTAGGTTTGGCAGTCCTGTGTCCTTGTGAGTATTCTAATAATTTTGGTGTCTTCTGTCAGAACTATGCCGCCTCGTCGGGAACCCCGTCGCTCTTCTGAGCCTATGTTCCCCGATATTACTCAATTGGGGGAAGCTTTTGCGACAGCCCTTCAGGCAGTGATGCGCCCTCCCCAGAGGACTCCTCTGGAAACTATGTATAATCTGAAGTTGGATAAGTTTAAGGGCAGTGAGGGACCCGAGAACGCAGAGCGCTGGCTAGAACACATAGAGAAGACTTTTCGGGTGCTACATAATCAGGGAACTTGCCTATGGAGAGATGGGTTGAGACGACCTGCTTGGTTTCTTGATACGGAGTCGGCAGCTTGGTGGGAGCAGGAGCTTCGTAGGTTGACTCCGGATCAGAGGGTCGAGTGGAATGTTTTTACGAGGTTGTTTAGGAGAAGGTATGTGCCCCTGAGTATATCGACCGTAAGAAACAGGAGTTTTCCGAACTGAAACAGCGGAAGATGTCAGCGAATGAGTACTACCGTAAGTTTACGGACTTGTCCCGTTACCACCCTGATGTCGCTGGTAATCCGGCGGAGATGCTCCGTCTTTTCCGTTTGGGCACTAGGAAGAAGTGGCGTTCTATGGCGTCTGCAATCCACAGCGAGACTTACCAGGACTTCTATGAGATATTGCTGAGGATCGAGGATTCGGAGAATATGTCAAGCGATACTGATGAAGAGAAGGACAGCAACCAGAAGAGAGATGACAAAGGTAAAGGTCAAGCATCGCTTGGGCCCCGTCAGACTCAGAACTTCAAGAGAGGTGGAGCTAGTTCTAGTTCTTCGAGTGGTGGCTTCAGTGCCACTGGGCAGGGTCGTGGAGGTAGATTTTCTGGTGGCGCTAGAGGCCAGAGGCAGGGCGATGGTGGGCGAGGCAGAGCCCCAGTTTGTCGTAGGTGTAACAACCGGCATTTTGGTGAGTGTAGACGTGGTAGCAACGGTTGCTTCACATGTGGACAGGTGGGACATAGAGCGGCACATTGTCCCCAGGGCCAGCAGCAGCAGAAACCACAGCAGACCTTTATGCCACCACCTGCACCACTCCAGCAGATCCAGGGTCCTAGTGGTTACGGACAGGCAGGTCGAGGTGGTGCCTACCACTACCAGGGTGATGCTGTACCCTATGCCTCGGGACAGTATCAGTATCCCCAGGATCCCTACTCCCAGGGTAGTTACCCTCAGTATTCGGGCGGCTATATGCCGTATCCTCCAGCTTCAGCCGGCGGTTCTCAATGGTATCAAGGAGGACAGTTTCAGACAGGAGAGATTGCTACCAGTAGTGCAGGGTCTTCGAGACAGACCGGTCAGCCCAGTCAGGGGCGTGGTACGCAGAGTCGTGGTGCTCAGGCGAGCAGAGGTCGTGGCGGACGGCAGCAGGGCCAGGGGCGTATACACAACATTTCTTTGCAGGATGCTCAGAACAACCCGGATTTGATTATGGGTACGTTAAATATTCTTGGTTATTTTGCTAGAGTCTTGATTGATTGTGGAGCTACACATTCTGTGATTTCTCATACATTTGCTCAAGTGACGCAACCTCGCCCCACCCCCCTAGGGTATGATTTAGAGTTCGCTATGCCTAGAGGGGAGAGATGTATTGTGGATCGTGTGTACCCAGGTTGTCCGGTGATAGTTGAGGGCGTGGTTATGCCCGCTGATCTTATCCCGTTAGATATTGTGGATTTTGATGTGATTTTGGGCGCGGATTGGTTGCACCCCAATCGTGCCAATATTGATTGTTACGGGAAGATAGTTACATTTCGTCGTCCTGGACTACCCGTGGTTACCTTTGTTGGTGAGCAGAGTGGGGTGAGACATGGTGTTATTTCGGCGCTACGAGCGAAAAAGTTGTTGACTAAGGGTTGTCAGGGGTATTTAGCTCATGTGGTGCTAGAGGAAGCCGTTCCTAGCCGAGTTGAGGATGTGAGAGTGGTCAGACATTTCCCTGATGTTTTTCCCGAGGATTTACCTGGTTTACCCCCAGATCGAGATGTGGAGTTCACTATTGAAGTGCTTCCAGGTACTAATCCTATCTCTTTGACTCCTTATCGTATGGCTCCCGCAGAGTTAAGGGAATTAAAGGTGCAGCTGCAGGAATTAGTGGATAAGGGTTTTATTCAGCCTAGTACTTCACCTTGGGGCGCTCCAGTATTGTTCGTAAGGAAGAAGGATGGAACTTTGAGGCTGTGCATCGACTACAGGCAACTCAATCGGGTGACGATTAAAAACCGTTATCCCTTGCCTCGTATCGATGATTTGTTTGATCAGCTGA